TAGGTTCAAAAAATCAGCTTCACATATGCAAAATGAGGGAAACAAAGTAAAACAGCTGTTTAACTGAAAAACATTTGGGGATTTAAAGGACTGAAAACTCAATAGGACTCAGAATCATGATACGGCTGATTAATAAAACTAATTTAATCTTGAGTCAAATTTTTAAAAATGTAACTTCCAGAAATAAGAAAGTAATGGTTCTGATACACTTCTCCCTCGTTAGAACACCTCTTGAATATTAGGTTCAGCTCCAGGCACCAAGGTTTAGATGAAATGTGGACAAATTAAAGACAATACAAAGAAGGGCAGCCATGGTAGTGAAGGACCTTGAGTCTTTGTCATCATAGGGTCCACTGAAAGAAATGAGTATGTTCAGGCTGAAGAGAAGAACTCAGAGAGAACCCTCCCTCCAACAAAAAAAAAATAACCCTTCAATTATTTGAAGGGTTACCATCAAGAAGAGGGAATACACTTGCTCATTTTTGTCCACCAAGGACAAAACTGGAAGGACAGACAAATTTAGACTTGGTGAAGAAAAAAAACCCCACAACTTCCTAACCTCAGGAGGTCGTGAGTTCCTCCTTTATGGAATTCTTGAAACAGAGTTTGCATAACTATTTGCCAGTTACACTGTAGTGGGGATTCCTTTTTAAGAAGGTATAGATTGGATTAGATGGCCATTGAGGTCTCTTCCAATTTTAACAGTCTGTGATTCCATAATTATTTGTCACTTGCTTTTCTTAATGTATGGACTTTTACATTTAGAGAAAGAACATAGAGTGTATCCCAAGATTCAGTGCAGTTTAAAACTTTAGTAGCTTAAAATTACAGTAAACTTTCAGGACACCATGTTCATTTTAAAATAAATATTTCTTAGGGCTTAAGTTTTTTTGAATACATAATAAAAGAGTAATAATTTAAAATAAAGTTTTTAATTGAATTTTATTTTTTTCATTTAAGATGTTTTTTCTCTGTGTCCTACTTCCCTCCCCCACCAAATGGGGGGAAAAAATTAAACCTTTATAACAAATTTGCATAGTCAAGCAGAAAAATATCTCCATATTGGTTATTTTCAAAAAATGTGTCTCATAATACATATGTTCTCAATCAACTTTCTATCAAGTAGTTGATAGCATTCTTCATTATCAGACCTATGAAATCATGGCTGATCATTGATTCCATTGGTCAGAATTCTTTAAAAGTTGTTTATTTTACAAACTTTCCTATATTTGTCTCAAAGTAATCTAAGGTTTTAATAATAAATTCAACAAAAGCTGTAGGTCCATACAACTTTCACCAGCTTGTAACACACTAACTGTTTCAACAATCCTACAATCCCATACCAATTCTGGAAGTACTACAATCTTGAAGGCATTGAGAGATTTTTGATATAGCTTCCTACACATTTTCCACCTTCTTCCCCTATGTCCACTTTTATATTAAAGTCACCATATATTAAAGTACATATGGATTTAATTAGGAATTCTTCATAGATTGTCTTTATCATTTCATCCACTGTGACAGAGCTAAGCCCAAAAGCCGAAATGATCTGCATGCCCTCTCTGGACACTGTAAATGAGATGGGCACATTTACCATGAAGTGGTCTTTCTTGATTTTGGACCATAAAACCAGCTCCGTCAATTCCTGTATTAATCTTTCTAAAAATAACCTGTGAACTATCATTACATTTAACTGCTATCTGATTATACCTTCTGATTTCATTAAAAGCAAAAACATAATTTGATACAATTTGGCTCCTGCAGTAATATGTCAGATTGTTGGTCATTGGCTAAGGAGCTCACAATTAGAACATCAAGTTAAGTTAATGTTTAGAGATGGTCTAAAAACTGTGTTTCCTAGCACCCTCTGTCCCCTTTTCCTCTACTATGCGATGATCACTGAGAAGTAAAAAAAAAAAAAGTCTACAAGGACCGAGTATCATTTTGTATTTTATTTTCTTGCATGCATTGCCATGGTCTAAGAATTCATCACCTAGTAGACAGCCTATAGGTAATAACTGTCATCAGATTTAGGTAGCTTGAAAAATAGGGGTCATGTTTAATTCCTCTCAAGACTGGTAGAACTTGCCTGATAGAACTTGTGCTCCACTGGCACAGCCTTCAAAAACCAGGGTTACTACCACACCATGATGAGTCATTAGAGTAAGATATTTTCTGGATGTATATGCATGTAGGTTGTTCAAAAAGTCATATGCCTTCCATAAGAAAGCAACTCTGTGGTCTTAGATATATCAGCAAGTACAGGTTGCCTGGAAGACTGTGGAAGGGATTGCTCTTCAAAGATCTTTAAATATTTATTTTAATTGACAATATGGACACAATATACCAACTTACTTATTCTTCATATATAATAATGTTGATGATACATTTATATAGTTCCTTACAATTTACAAAGTGCTTTCATCACAACCACCTTATGGAATAAGTAATACATCACTTACCCCATTTGATGAGGAAAAATCTCAACAAGGTTAAGTGAATTGTCCAAATTTTCGTAGCTACTGAATGGCAGAGTAAGGATTTGAGCTCAACTCTTTTCTTTTCATGGCTCCACACTCTCTGCATTACTATAAGTTGGCTAAAACAGATCAATTAAAGTCAACATTTTTTTGCTTATTCCAGTTTACAGCCTTTAAAATACTAAGTAGCTCCTTTTCATTTTGCTCTATCTAAAGAGAGAGAAATTAATATTATTTGGGTAAGAATTCTTATTGCATTTTTTAAGTCATAAAGATAGATTCTCCTTTCACAGATTATTTTTTGTAGGTATTTTAGGGATTGACATACCTATTCCTCTTAATTTAGATTTTTGTCATGTTATCGATGGGTGTGAAACATTTGTTTGTGACCCAAACTTTTAACAGTTTGCTTCGATCTGATGGCAATAAAAAGCCATAAATATAATGTTTACTTGAAATGAAATAAAGTATTTTTTCAACTTTTTCTTTGATGTACAATGATGTCATTTTTATTGAAAACTTAATTGAATCAACCTAACTTAATCTTCATTAAGTAAGTTCTTGGCTAGGAACTTCTGGAGTATTGATTAATCTTGACTAAGTAAATTCTTGGCTGATACCTTCTAGAATATTCCTCTTTTCTAGAGTATTGCCTAGGATGAGCCACATACATAAGTGGCTCCTAAGGCACCTAAGGCATAAAGCAAGCTGTTTTGTTAGGCTGCCTTGTCCTTACAGCCCAATGCTTTGTTTATTCACAAATGTTCTTCTTAACTTCCTTCCCTTAAGGAGAAAAATGTGTCCCAGTTGTCATTGTTATCATATTTTCCTGGCTGATAACACACTAAAATGGGCTTTGTCCACCATACCTACCATCTCTAGCATCTGAATGTTATTTCAGCCTTCATTCCCTTCAAATAGAACCAAACAAAAGTTCTCTTTTGAGATGTTACAGCTAGTTGCCATTTACAGCAGTCAAGCAACTTTCCTGCTATTCAGATGTCATACCTAACTTTGGAGAGAGGAAAACGAGAACCCAAGAAGAAAGAACATTTTGATGTTGTAGTTGTAGTAGTAGTAGTAGTAGTAGTAGTAGTAGTAGTAGTAGTAGTAGTAGTAGTAGAAATAAATCATACACACACACACACACATATACATACACACACACAATATCTTGTGTACATTATTCTGTTTGAACCGGATAAATATGAATTTTGTTTAAAACCTGCCATCAAAATGATTTTTAAAAAACACACAGTTTTTAAAACATGAGTTGAAGGGGGGGGAATTGATTAATTGGATAAGTCCTTGAAACATTCTATACTATTTAATTATTCCTATTCTGGTTTTCTACCACCACCAGCACTCTCCCTACATATGCAGCATTGCTCCATTGTGTTTAAGAACCCTACTGACCTGAAAAACAGTTAACTCTCCTCTCATATGCCTAGCCTACTCTTAAAGATTTTAATTTGAAGTACCAAATTTTGTTTTAACATTGCCTACAAACAATAACTAAGTTAGAAAACATGTGAAGGCTTGTATTTACATAAGAAATATGTTGAAGTTATTAGTATGGTAGTTCAAGATGAAAACTGCATCTTAAATGGGATATCAGAGTAAGAAATATCTTTATAGGTTTTTTTTTCCCAATGAAAGAAAAAACATCATCATTCTTGTTCTTCGCAGGAATAAAACATGATTAATGTCCAAAGCCAAAGATTAATTCTGTTTCTCATGCAGCAATGTCTTAAAACATTTCAATAGACCCAGATGCCAGATGCAAACTCAGTTAATAGTGGATTCATATTTAAGGAGGCTATTGACTTTCTCAAAATTATTGAGCAAAAATTATATATCATTACTAATCATTTGTATAGCAAGTACTAAGTCTTCAAAATATTTCCGTGAAATTTTCAAGATTATAAGAATTCTTTTTGGAAAGGGTAGATAGAAAAAAAGAAAGGAGGGTGGGTATTACGTTTTGCTTTTTGTTTGTTTAATATGGGTGTATTGGAGGTGGGGGTGAGGTGGTGTTTGCAGCACAATTAAAAGTCCAGAGTGTTTTAAACATCCCAAAGCATGATTTTTACCCGGTGATATTTTCTTGATGGCATGTCTGAAATATCTGATGAAAGCAATTTTCTAATTATAAAGATAGTAGTGTATTTGGATTCTAGCCCACTAGAACTGTATCATTATTGTCATACTATTTGCTGCTGGCAGGTTTTACATTGTAAATGGTATGGGTGGGTTTTCAATAGACACATAGCTAAAGGAAAAATCTTCCATTTAAAAGTTTGATGAGGACTGACTACATTTCTTCTAGAGATTACTATTCAAATCCTATAATTTAAAGGAAAATTGGTTGATGTTTTGATTGTTTTCTTCAAAGAGTCTGTAGCAAATATCCAAGGTCTTCCTGAGAAGGCCAAAACCAGCCTACATCATTCAAAGTGCTGGTAATATCTGACATGTTCACAAGTGAGTGATTCTAACTTTGTTTTTTATCTAATCCAGCACTAATGTATGCAAGCATTTTTGGGAATGTATCTGCAATTATCCAAAGACTGTACTCAGGAACCGCCAGGTACCACATGCAGATGCTGCGAGTAAAAGAATTCATTCGCTTTCACCAAATTCCTAACCCTCTGCGGCAGCGGCTTGAAGAATATTTCCAACATGCTTGGACTTACACCAATGGCATTGACATGAATATGGTATGTAGCTCTGTTTTCAAAAGTGAAACATTCATCATTGCAGTCTACAGCTAAATTTTTTTTAAAGTTTCACCAGCTTGAAACACCCCCCCCTCCCGCTTTTTGTTTTTTCCTCTCTCAAATATTTATTTTCTACCCCGGAGATAGTTTCTCATTCTTAATTCATGGCATTGCATGGTGCTATATCTAGTTATATTGTGTGGCAAAGGCATTATAACATGATGCAAACTGATATAACTTTATGTACTAGGGATTCCTTCTTCAGGCTTTCAGTGTTCTAGATAGGATCCAGCAACCCAAGAAAGAGCTGGGCCAATATAAATTAAGATTTGGCAAGTGGACATTATCAGGTTTGGGTAAGGCCAGAATAAATGAGTCCTCATTAAGAATTAAAGTTACCAAACTTTAAAAGGTAGGATGTTTGGGGAACGCATGCCAAACATTAGGATCCATAGGCATTTCATATGCATTCTGTGATGGGAAGTTTAATATTTCCTTTAAGTACAATTTTCTTTTTTTTTTTCAGTGCTGGTAAGCAATTAACTTATGTGCCCTTATTATCATACCTACCCAGTTTAATGAATCTTTTCTTTCAAGCAGAAGTATGGGATTCTTTCATTCCTTTTAACCAAAGCACACAAAATAATAACTTGACATAGCCCACTTCTTATTGTACCACTGCTCAAAGGAAAACACAATTAAATATATGCTACCTCAATAAGCTTTTGCTTTTATTAGAAGAACATTGCAAGATATGATGCTGATATTCATTTGACTTTGCTATTTGGACTGACTGATCACTTAAATAAGTCATCTACTGAGCCGTTGTCTATGGCATCCTATCCAACTATAATAAAATGACCAGAATTAAGTGATCATCTAACATGGCCACTATTCTAAAAGTAGTCATTGTTTCTAAATGTCCTTCCAAAAAGGAAATCACTTATATTTACAATGACAGTCATACTTATTCAAATCAACAAGTTTATGCTTCCTGGATGGCCAGTTGCTCAGAGATCTGGAAGCTTAATAGAAATAAATATCCTCAGGGAAAGAGCAAAGATTTTTATCAGTCCAGGTACAGAAAACAGTTGGAAGTATTACCTAATTTGCAAGAATCTTCCATTTATGTGCGAATAAATTCCTCACAGCTGGATGCAATCTATATTAATCTGAAATAAGGCCACTGTTATTCATAAAACACTTTAATTTTTAGAAAAAAACGAAGTTGTCCTTATGGATATTAATTAATATATTTCATCTAAGACATCTTTTGTGTTCTGAGTTATTTCCAATAATCCCATAAGCTCTCTGTGAAGAATTCATTCGCTTTTTGATGAATGGATCTCACTGCTAAGGGAACATCTTAATATCACTTGAAAGAGTGTTCCTGAATCGATTGATGTTCTCTATTTCAGTGAGAGTTTATTGTTTAACCAAGTTTTCATCATTCAGAAAGTACTGGGGGCTTTCTGCTGTGTAGGATCAAGCAGTATGATGATGTATTTTAACTAAAATCTGTATCACAAGATTGCTTTCCATACTGCTAGTTCATTGCACAACAATAGTTTTTAAAAAAAAAGAAAAAAAAACACTTATGGTATCATTTCTTCTCCCTATACAATTCTGATGTTGTGACCATTTTGTGAGCACAAGTCTACTTTTGTGACTATTTACTTTTCATTGTTTGAATCTATTACCTATGACTATGGTTTATATACCACTTGCCTAATTGATGATGTACTTATGAAAGATTTATCTCTTTCCTGTCTGCTTCACACCTTAATACATGGAATCACAACACCCACCGGTAAGAGCAGGAGGTATTTATATATAATTTAATTCTCGTGTAAAATGTGGAGAATATCCATGTTATCTGTCAGGCTTAGAGCTTGTTTAATGCTTTCAAATTTCAGTTTTAACCTTTTTTTGCATGATGGAGTGGTAGGCAACACAAAATAAAAATCTGTGGGAGATAAGCACGGGGACAAGGTAGAAAAATAGACATTCTTAAAGGAATTGCTTAAGCTAAAAATAAATTTAAACAGTTTATTACTCCCCAACACAAATCACATTTCTGTACTCTGCCTTCCCTCACACACACACACACACACACACACACACACACGCACACACACACACATTCAACAAAAAGTCACGTGTATACGGTTTGCATTAGATAGCTGTCATGAAGAAATGTCTCTCTCTCTCTCTCTCTCTCTCTCTCTCTCTCTCTCTCTCTCTCTCTCTCTCACTCTCTCTGGTCATCCTGTATTTTCCTTATGTAGGCACTTTTCTTTTCTATCATCTGCATGCCTATATAACCTGCTGGTGGGCTGTGTGAGCTCTAAACCATGTGCTTAGGAGATTTGCATGTGGTTTTGAGAGCTTGACCTTGCACGAACTTCCTATTTGTACACAGTGTCTTCCTTGTTCATCTTGTGACTGCCAAGTGAGTAAAAATAATAATATGAGATTCATTAGCAAATTCTGAAACATCTGATGTCATATACTTGGTTATTAAACATAATAAGCAAAAATACTTGTTTAAAAACCTACATTATTATTATATTTATTGGAAAGAATAAAAGGAGAGAATTTCTTCTGAAATAGTATGTAGGCTGTTAAAATGACTTGTGAGAATTACTTAATTTAAATTGAGTGAGACAGTAACATAATTTAAATTTAAAGGGTTTAATACTTTTATAGTCCATGAGTAATATTCTTATTTCTACAAGGACATTCCATATTACTTCATTTAAGCATAACTTTGATCATAATTTCTCATAAAACCTTTCAGAAAAGCTGGTTTCTAGACCATATCTAAGAGAAGCATGAGATTTCTAACTATAGTATGTTATGGCTTGTTAACCATACTATGTACATATTTAATTGGTCTGAAACAGTCTTTCATGCCAAAACTTTTGATTGTATAGCAATTAACAAAAAAAGATGGAGGAAATATTGAATAATATAATAGGGTCTCCTTTCTCCTCCTGTAAGATCCCTTACTTATTTAAGGGACCACTCCTATAATGTCCTATAAAGTTATCCTGTAAACAATTGTTAGTATCCAACTCCATAACCAGGGGATATTAGTAATTCAATAAGCTCCTTTTTGTGATCCAGGCATCAGAGCCAACACAGCCAGATGATTGAAGCCTAGAGCTGATATTGAAAATTGCATCAGGATTCTGGCACAGATCATGAGGGTTTTTATGTTTGGCTCAAGGTTACCCAGGATTTATGACCAGTCACCCATATCTCCAAATCTGTTCTGGGACATTCTTTCCCCCCACCAAGCAATCTGAATAACTGAGTGTTTCTCAAATTAGAAGACATTTTTGGAACTCTGAGACTAGTTCAAAGGACTGTCCTGAGTCAAGTCAAAGAATGGCCTCCCAGAGATTTGGTCTAAAAAACTCTGAGAACAACCTTTACCGACTGATATTAATACTAGCCTCCCAAAATGCTAGGATTGAAACCATTGGTTATGTTAAATCTTTTGTTACTCGGTGTCATTCCCACATCATTTATAATTACCCTCAACCGATTAGGGAGCCTTACTAGATAACATAATAGCCCTGGCCAACCCTACATTTTAGATAGAGGAAAAACAAATCCTTCCCTAATTGTTTTGTTGGCTCCATAGAGTAGATTCTATCTCATAAAATAATAGTTTTCTCGAAATGAATACAACAGAAGTTTTTAATTAGTTGAGTTGTTATAAAACCACAGCCAACTTTTCAAAAAGCTGTATCTGAATTTGCTTTTTTTGCCAGCAAAACTGGTTGAATTAAATAAAAGAATTTATAAGTGGTGGGTATTCATTTTTCAAAATTTCTCATGATTTCTTGAGATTTGTGAGATCTTCTAGAAGAGTCTACTAGGCCTCTAACTCGATTTTACTTCAATGACTGTTTCTGTTTTCTCCTGAATCAGGATGGCATCCAGTGATACCTTTGACCCTATCATTCATACTTGGTCTAACCTTATCCAATCAAAGATGTGTTTATTCCAGTTCTCTGCACACAACTCATTAAAAGGACTTCATGTGTGCTGGACCAGTATTCCCAGATCTACACTGGTCCTGGGGCTGTGTAAGTGGGCTGACAGAGAATGGCAAAAATCTTTCAGTCATGGCCAGTTAGCTATCATTAATTTCTTATGATGGTTTGGAAGTAACCTGGGATTCACAAAAGCCATGCTAATGGGACTCAAGCCCTGGCTAGTTCTACTATGATGGTAAAGCTTAGTATATTAGCCTGGCAACAGGTATATATGCCATCTGAGAACCCACCTAGCTAAGTGCAGAGATGCTGATTAATAGAAAATGTGTTTGCCATAACAATTCATGAAGACTATCTGCTAAGGTATGGAAGGGTCAAGATCCACTTTTGGGGGAGAGTTCCCACACCTATGAGATCATAGATCCTTGATATATTGGAGTGAGAAGAAAGAGATTCATTGTACTCCAGTGCTCTCTGAATTTTTTTTTAATTAATGGTTACAGATAGCATTTTGTCCTATGAAGTATAGTATACAGAATGTTTTTCATTTGCTGAAGCAATAGATATATGCTTGAAGCATCTCACCTCAAATCAGTAACACACTAAATGGAAAGAACAAAGGGCAAAATTTGTATATGTTGGCCAATATGAGCCATGAATTCTTTTTTTTTTCTTATGGGAAAGAGCTACCTCTTCAGGACACACTGGATATTAAAAAACCAAAACAAACCAAAAAAAAAAAAAAACATGGTTTTACCATACACCAAGAAGGATCTGTGATTTTGTTGGCATGAAGCATTCACAGTGGGCCAACTCTTTTCAACAAAGGAGATCACAACCAGTCTATAACTTAGATACTTTCTGGGGAGTGCACATAAAAGAATATAAAAATCATGTGACATCATACAACTAATAAGTGCCAGAGGCAGCATTTGAAGCCACATCCACCTGATTACAAGCCTATCATCCTAATTATCCACCGCTCCAGGA